CTGCGGGCAGCCGCCTTGCGCTCCTTTTCCTTCAGGAGACCTGGGGGCCAGGAAGACAGGGCAGGGTCGGGGGAGGGGTGGGGGGGAGGAGAGGAAGATAGGGATGCAGAAGAGACCCCGCGTCAGAGACCCACACGACCGAGATCCAGAGAAAGGGGGGACCCCAGACGGGGTTGCAGAGAGACCGGAGACGGAGGGCAAGGGCCCAGAAAGAGGCGGGGACCGAGACCCAGAGAGGGACAGAGACCCAGAGGGAAAGGTCAGGGACGGGGGCCGCAGGTACACAGCGGGGAGGGGGACAGAGATCGAGAGAGGGATAGAAACTCAGAAAGAGGGGGGCCAGGGACCCAGAGATGCAGGGAGAGATGGGGACAGAGACCCGGTAAGGGGCAGACGTAGAAGAGGGACGGAAGTTCCGACAGAGGTAGGGGAGGGTTGGGCAGGTGAGAGAAGAAAGACAGCTCTGTGATTCCTCTGTAACCTACCACCCCAACCCCGCGCCCTGTACCCCCTCTCCCTACCCCCACACTCCGCAAAGGACAGGAAGGGGCTCTATTCCTGGGGCACATTCCTCATCCCTAGGCTCCATGTGACCCCAGGAGGCCCCGCCCAAGCCCGTGTCACTACCGTGTGAGCATCAGACACACCCCCTCTCTCCTCCCTGGACCTCAGGGGTCCAGACTCTCGGAACCAAAAGGAAGAGGGGGTTAGGACCTAGGTTCCTGGGCCCTCCCGGAGGAGGACACTAGGGGTGGGGGTTGCGGGGGAGGCCTAGACTCCTGGGTCCTCGCGGTAGACGGGCTTGGGAGCCGGTACTTTTGGGTCGTGGGTCTTGAAAGATCTGAGGACCTAAACACCTTAAGTGAAATAGGTAAAGGTTGGGAGGATGGATTCCCCGCAGGAGAAGGTAGCTGTGGACCACCCTCCTCCTCCAGCACCTGAGTCCCTAAAGGAGAAGGGTGTCTGAGTTGGGCGAGATGGGGGCTAGAACTCACAGCTGGCTGGTTCTTTGGGCTTGCTGGTCCCTTGCAGAAGGTTTCGCAGCCCAAGCAGCGCTCCCCCGCCCGGGGGGGCCCCGGCCGGGCCGCCCAGCAGCAGGGGGGCCGGGGTCCTGTCGCTCACGGGCCGCGCCATCGCCGGGCACCTGCCCGCAGGCTTACGGGCTCATGGAGAGGCGAAGAGCTGGCCTGCCGTCAGCGGTACGGTCCTGTGGTTCGGGCGAGTGTCTTGCCCAGGGGCGGGCGAGCGTAGCTTGCAAGATTCCAGTATCCAGAACAGTGCAAATCCTAGGAGCGACGGGGATTTGCAGTCCTCGCTGCAGAAACGTGCAACTCTAGAGGGTCCCGAGAGACCATGCAGTCTGGGTGAGGGGAGGATCAAATCCGACGGCCAGCTCTTTGCAACAGAGGGCTGAAGGGGACTCCAGGCGCTCCTTCCACAAGGTGGGCGAGCCTGGCTCTTGCAAAATCTGCAGCTCTCTCAGCGGAAGGCGCTTTGCAATCTGCACCAAGAGGTGAGCGCAGAGGGGCGGGGGAGGGGGCAGGAGGAGGCGGCAGCCTTGAGGCGTGGCCAAAGCAAACTTCTGCTGAAAGCGCGGGCCAATCGCGTCCCTACCCCTCGGCACGCTCAGCCAATGGGAGCTGTGGCTCCGCCAAGGCCCGGGACACGGGAGGGGCCCGGGGCGCG